AGTGCGCGCTTCAGACCCACCCTAACGTCGCCATCATGGGGAGGAGGTGAACGCGCAAAAGAAAACCCTGAGACAAGTTACGAACAGCATCGCGGATATTGTGTGCAAGCGTGCAGTGGCAGGCAAACAATACGGTGTGGTGCTGATCCCAGAGGGGCTGATTGACTTCATACCTGAGATCCAACACCTCATCTCAGAGCTCAACGATATCCTCGCCAGCCAGGGCTGCGACGACCATGGGCACTGGAAGGCTACCCTAAAACCATCCTCTAGGGCGCTCTTCGACTCTCTCCCCCACAGCATTCAGGAGGAACTTCTTCTCGAGCGTGACCCGCACGGCAATGTCCAAGTCTCCCGAATCGAGATGGAGAAGATGTTGATCTCAATGATTGAGACCGAACTCAACGCCCGGAGGCACGAAGGGGGCTACTCCGGCCAATTCAAGGGTCAAGCCCATTTCTTCGGCTACGAGGGCCGATGTGGGATGCCGACCAACTTCGACGCCACGTATTGCTACGCGCTCGGATTCGCAGCAGGAGCTCTTATGCACTTGGGCCAGACAGGACTGATTGCCTCTGTTGCCAATCTCACCGCACCTGCCGCAGAGTGGACCGTGGGCGGAACCGCCCTTACACAGCTAATGGACGTAGAGAGGCGTAAGGGAAGGAATAAGCCCGTGATCAAGAAGGCTATGGTTGAACTTGGTGGCGCCCCCTTCAAGAAGTTTGCGTCTGTACGTGACGTTTGGGCCGTGGAGGACAGCTACGTTAGCCCCGGCCCTATCCAGTTCGCAGGCCCTACTGCTGACGAGACTAACTTTACTTTGAAGCTCGAGCTTGGGGCTTCAGTAAATTTGTAGGTGATGAAGAAGATGTTAATTTGAATGATCTCGCGAGGTTAAGATGTGGATAAGAAGCCCGTTCCTTCAATGATGTTTGTCGAAAGTCAGCTTCGATGCCTCATTGATGTGCATCACAAGCGACTGAGCCAGCCGTTGCACGGTAGATGATGGCGCCGTCGAATTCACTGCTGGTCTAGAATCCTGCCTGAAACTTCTTAGGATTCTTTTCGTTCATGAGAAGGTCAAAATTGATGAGATGTGCTGCTTTGCCGAACGAGCAATTTTGAAGGGAAAGGAACTGGAGCCGTTGCGGTGGTTCTGTTCAGTCTTGAATACAATGTCAGATTATGTGACACACTTCGACATTGTTCTTCTTCATTTGGTGTTGTCATACTGACCCACGAGATGAGGACGTTGTGATATTTTCTCCTACTGATGTTTTTGGAACGAAGCCGTGAACATTGTCAAGTCTTGATTTTTTTATGTGTCGCAGTTCATGCATCTGTTATATTGGACATCTGTAACTTTATTTTTATGTTTGTTTGTGTCTGTGTCGTTGTGTACCTTTTTTATGACGGTCTTTATACTTGACACAGTCTGCAAACTCGTTCCGTCACTGAGCCTGTTGATTTGCAATTGTCCTTCTGGAACTGACTCTAATAATACAGCGAAAACGGAAAAGTTGAGTTTATATTCAGATGGAGTTAGGCAGTAGATACAGTGGGGCTTGAACGCAGAAAGCTGGGGAAGTCGATCATGTAGGGCTGTATTCATGAACGTGGACTGTGTAACCTTAAGACTATGATAGACTTTGAAAGCGTTTCTAGTGCAGACCCTCTTATGAGTCTACTGATATAGAGTAGAATAGCGTGGCTCTCGTGGCACGTGTGTGCACTCAAGTCTGAAGTCCTGCCCCAGTCTCCAGATGGACTCATGTTGATGTGTATTAACCAAAGCATAAGTGGTAGCACTAATTGTTGAGAAGAGTAATGCTTTCTGACAACTCACGAAATAGTTTTGATTGATTCAATTTTTTTAATTGAACGGAGTTATACTAGTAGGAACTAGGTGTGTAGGAGGTAGGATTCATTTGTGAAAGGCTTGTTAGTATGGGTGGAAACAAGTAGAATTGTGTGATAGTGACGCTCTTGCACAGTGAGTTGTGACAATATAATTCAGTTTGTTGTTCAGTGGTTAGAAACTTGAATCATTTCCCTATGAGAATGTGTGCTAGTGGTACTTTAATAACCTGCTTGATAAGCATACCTGCCCAGTTTATGAAGGTATAGTCCAGAACTAATAAGAATATAATCCTACTTGGTTACGTCTATATCATATTATTCAGATTATTAACATCAAACTTTTAAATAACAAAACATTTTTTATTTATACTTCCCTTAATTCTAATTGTACTTGCTTGTATATCCTATCTTTATACTAAGAAACTACTCAAAAATTGTTTGTGCATTAGCTAGTGTAGCATAATATCTAGGTAAGTTGTGGTTATTGACAACAGCTTGAATAGAATATTTATTTATTTATTTTTATTTTTTTCTCTTATTCTAATTATTCTTTATATGTATTATTAAATTTATCTACCTACTATCATAAAATTCATTTTTTTTTTAACATTTTGGGATTGAAAATTAATAAAATTGGAAAAAATATATTATTAAAATTTTATTTTAAATTAACTTTTAATTTTAAGTAATTAATTTTTAAATTTTTATCCATTAAAATTTACTAGTCTTGTATTTGTTAATATTTAGTCACAATAGCATGTTGCAAAGTATTAAATGAGAAGGTGTTTATCACTTTAAATTTTTTTGATTTATTTGAGAGATTACATTTTTTTTTTTTTTTTTTTTTTTTTTTTTTTTAATTTAATAGGCATGCATAGTAGAGACAAAGAGTAAATATTCTTTGCTATATTAAATTTTAGTTATTATATTAAACTTGCTAGTAATTTTCTAAAATTCATAGATAAATTATTTTAGATTAATGAAAAAAATGATATCCAATTCAATGTTTTAATTTATCTTTTTTCTTTAAAAACAAGATAAGAGCTTATGTCAAAGATTTAAAATGGTATATGAAGCTCTTAGTTATGTTTTTGGTAACATATTTCTTGAGTGCAGCTTACTTATTCAATGATAAGCTTTAGATTGGTCTAAATGGTGGTTGAGATTTTTCTTGAAGAACAATTAAGCAATCACAAGAATGATGTTCTAAAAGAATATCTATATTTTTTCTTTTAAAAATATTTTAATATTCATATTGATTTGGATTTCCATTTAAAGTTTTTTTTCTATGAAAACTTTGTTGTATAAATAGCAAAAGAAAATCCTTATTTTATAATATATATGAAGATTTTTACATCTAATAATAAGAATTTGGACTTATGATTTTTTACTTGGATAACAAAAGTCTATGTTATGCTATAGAAAAAATTAATGTTTGAAGAAATTGAATCTATTCAAGGATTGCACTTCTAGAGCTATAATAAATATAAAAAACTCTATTGGATGGAGATCTAATAAAACTAAATATTATTAAGCTATTATGACTATTAGTTGCTGCATCTAAAGGAATAGTTTTATAGATATCTTCTAAAGACAACAAACAATCATTTGTGATTACTAAATGTATGGGCTTAGTTTTCTTTACTAAGGATATTTTATATTTTTTAATAAAGTCTTTGTCTATAAATTAAGTTAATGCTTTTAAATTTAATAATATAAGGACTTTGTAATTTTTTGGTCTTAAACAAATATCTATAATAAAACAAGGTAAAGAATCTAAGAAAAAAATAGGACCTTTACTAGTTGTTGTACAAGATTCTAACCACATTGTTACTATTGTAACTCAACAAACTTATCTTTTGATACATGGTTTTCTTTATTAACCATGTTCATTATTTTTTGACTACATTTCTTCTTTGAAAATATTAAATAATGTGATTAGGTTCTTTATAATATAAGCACAATCTTTCTTAATAATGTCAAGTCTTTTGTTTCTTTAAAGAGAGGTTTGAAACATGCCATATCAATTTAATCAAGTTTTGGCCTTTATGAAATTTTTTTTGAAAACCTAAGAATTGTCGTCATGACTTGACTTGTTCTTTTCCAACAAAATATTTATTTTTAGTATCTTTCAAAAAGTTAATTATTACATGCAATAATTTGAGCAATAAATTTTTTTAATAAATTTATTTTTGGTATTATCAATAATAACTCTTTAATATTATCTTTTAATCCATATCAAAATTGATTGATAAATTTTTTGCCATTTCAATCCATGTTACTAGGTTTTGAAATTCAACAACATATATGGTGGTTGAATGTGATTCTTATCTTAAATATAAGAGTTTGATTTTTATTACACTTTTTCAATTATTTTCTTTAAATACAGTTGTAAATACTTTTAAGAATGAATTTAGATTGTAGAGGCATCTTGAATTCTTTTCTATTCAAGATACAAATTAAAAGAGAGTATTTTATGATAGAAGTCCACCTATAAATCTAGCTTGAGTAAATCCATCAAGTATTGAAAAAAAAGCAATTTTATATAAAACTTGACTTATTGTAAAAACTCTCAAATTTTTAATCTTATTCAATTAAACTTCTTCAACATATTGATCCTTGCATCTCTCATTTTTATAGTAGTAAGACTTCTTTGATTCAATTATGAGATTGGTCTACTCGCTCCTCTCAAATGTACAATTTTTTGGTATAAAAATTAAATTTTATTATTGATTTCTTTAAGAAGTATGGAAATAGTACCTCCTTAGTTTTTAGTAGTAATAGTTGAAATTTCTATCCTAGGAAATATTAATAAGCTTATAAAGATCTAAAATAGTTATAAATCTATTTTTACTTCTATCAAATTTAGTATCCATAATTTTTGTTACTATCTCTATAACAAACAACTTTAATAATTCTACAAGTCAAATTAGAGGATAGTGATCCACAATTTCTAAAATCAAATGAAAATTTCTACAAAGAGGGATAGTCTACTCTCTTTGAGAAGAGAATTAATGTTAAAAAATAGAAAATATTAATTTAAACATGAATAGTTTGAAACCTTTAAAATATAATAAAAATAAAAGAAATAATCTACTAATAAATTAGAACTCTTATCAAATTATTAAGGACATAAGTTACAAACAAAATAAACTTCAATACATTCTTTTTTCATTCAAAAAGAGTAGGTATTCACTCAAAAGTAGTATAATATTAAAACTATATTGACTATAGCAAAAGACAAAAAGACTAGAGATTCTTCTAATAAGTCTAAAGATAAGAAAACCATTAACAACAATAAAGATGGCTTCACTTTTGCCTCTATATATACTATCTTACCTAGAAGCTTTGTTATAATGTTCTATAGGACCTCCAACTTGTGTTTAACTTGCAAGACAAGTTTCTTATATGCAAGCTATATGATTAACTTATTGGCTAGGTTTCTAATCTACCAATCAACTACAAATATATATGAAGTCGAATCTACATCTAAGTAACTTCTAAGACGCTTCTCCAAAAGATACTATTAAATCTATTTACATTTAGCTTCTATTTAACTTTTCTTATCTAAATAATTATATATATTTTTAATACTTGGTAATAAATATTTTTTAAATATATTTTCTTATAAATTTTTTACAATTGGTATCAAAGATAAGGCATTAAAAGCTTTTACCACAATATTTTAATCTTATAAGTAGTATACATTAGAATAAGGCCTTGGTTATTTTTAATATAATCAATTATTTTTTTCAGTTGTAAATTTTTGTAGTTTATAAATATTTTTTATTTTTTCTTTTCTATCTATAATAATATTTATATAAATTTTTTATGATAGTTAAATATATTTTTTATTTAAAATTCTTTATTTAATTTTTATAAAGCTATTGATTTATGATTTAAATTATATTTATGATAGTATCAATTGTATCTATATAAGTTTAAATTTTATATTGTAAATGATATTAAATTTCAAAAATTAGATTAATTTTAATATATATTTTTTTCAAAATAAAAATATAATACTAACATGTATATATAAATATATATATATATATATATATATATATATATATGCATATTTTATAATAATAAAAATATTAATTTATAAATTATTTCTTAAATTTATAATGAAAAAATATAAATATATCCATAATATATTGTATTAAAATCAAAAATTATTTTAATATTTTATTGAATATAAAAATTTAATTTTAGAAAAATATCACATAATATGTATATAGAACTTAACTACAAATATTGTTGAAAAAATATCTGTTTTTTCAAAATATAATATTTAAATTATTAATTGTTATTATTTTTATCTTTTGGATATCTAAAAATATATTATTCTTTATAAAAACTTATAAAAATATTAAAAAAAAAATTATAAAAAATTAATATAATATACTATATATATTATAATTAAATTTATATATAATATTTTTTAATTTATTAAATTATAATTTTTACTTAAATTATAATTTAATATAATTAAGATTATAAATAAA